ATTCTGTTTAGAATGTATTCTGCTCAGTTATTTAGCCTATTAGTGCAATAATTAAATTAGTCCAAGTTTTAAATTGATTATGACATTTCACAGTTTACAGGTGGAACAAAATTGTAAAAAAAAAAAAAAGAGACATTAACATTTGACACCCCTGACCCGAGTAGAGAGCTGTAATAGGATTAGAAATTGCCAGATAGCCTCCCTCTGTCAGCAGCTTTCTCAGATAATGACAAGACCAGCTGTCCATGTTCATACTGAATCATCTGCGCCAAGTGACTATAACCATGGAATCTCCCATCTATTAATTTCTGTGCTTCCTAAAACTGCTGCAGGCATCTGGGAATCTATTCAGAGAATGAACACCTGTACAATATACTACACTATGGCCTGCCTAAACTACTTTATTGAAAGTAGCCTCTAATCTCTAAACAGAATTAAATTAGCCAAGGAAACAACTCAGTTTCCAGTGAGCTTTTGAGCTTCAGGATTAATAGGTATAATTAAGTAATTTCAGATCTGGTCAAAGATTAATTTATTCTGCTCAAATTCTTAATGAGTAAATTAAGACAAGGCCCATCCTGAATGTCCCAAGGTTACCTACTGCTGACTTGCACCAATATTCTAGTCAGCTCACTTTGCATATTGGACAGCTGTGAGCACTAATTTAGTCAGTGGACATATTTTCTTTGTTTATGGTTATAACACTGGATATGTAAATAATTAATGGATTAAATATTTCCCATTCATACACTGCACAGCAAAATGTTCTTGAATGATTCCGGGTTGCAACGTATAAAGTCTTATCTTAGAAGTAGCTATAGGAAATTAAAGATTTAAGAACAAACTGAGCAGTGAATTCAAAACAGAACTATTATGAGTTTTTCCATCATTAGAGTTAGCCAGGGCTTAAACAGCAAATAAGTCCAAAATCAAATAAAAATTCCCCAATCATCTGACTTAATAGGTCTATAAATTAATATAAGTGATTGTGGAAAAACTCATTACACAGGAATTGTGCACATAGTGAGCAGGATTGAACAAAACACAACTACCCTGCTCCTTAAAGAAGTAAAATGATTTAAAAGCACTGGTGCTAATGGACCAAATCTGTGGATGCTGATAGTCAAGCAAGCCTCTAACAGCCTAGTAGCACGCTAAAGTCACTTATGTTAATTGCATAAGTATTCACATCTATGAATTATATTTGGTGGAAGTACCTTTAGCACCAATTACAGCTACAAATCTTTTCTTCTCCACCAATTTTCTCCACCAATTTTGCAGACCAGCATGCTGCAATTTGTGCCCATTCTTCTTGGGAGATTTTCTCAAGCACTCTCACGTTGCTTGGGGAAATTGCTTATGGATAGCACTTTTCCCCAAAAAATTCTCAATTGGATTCCAGTCAGCATCTCATTGGGTCACTCAATGATATCCACTGCCTTTGACCAGGTTCTGTGGATCATTATTTTGCTGAAAAGTATATTGTTGCCCCAGTTTTAATTCTTTAGCAGACTTAAACAGGTTTACCTCTAGCATTCACTTGTACTTTGATCCATTTATTTTTCCTTCAGTCCTAACAAGCTTTCCAGACCCTGTTGAGGAGACCTACAGTCATGTGAAAACAATTCAATGGTTTTACATATCAGGGCATAAATAATTGTTTGGTCCTCTCCAACTTCTATAATTAGACAAACCTAGCCTTAGATAACAGACAACACAACAGATTTCACTATGTCATTATTTATTCAACAAAAAAAAGTAAGTCAAAATGCAGAAACCATGTAGGAAAAATTAAGCACACCCTTACTGCTTCCATAGGAATTAAGAAAATAATTAGCAGCCAGGTGCTGCTAATCAAATGCCATTGATAAGTTGATCATCGGGAATCTCTATAAAAGCAGAACGTTTGGCAGTTTGGTGGTCTGGAGCATTCAGGTGTGTGTTAACACCGTGCCAAGGAGAAAAGACATCAGTAGTGACATCAGAGAAGCAATTGTGGCTGCTCATCAATCTGGGAAGGGTTATAAGGGCATTTCCAAACAATTTGAAATACATCATTCTACAGTGAAAAGGATTATTTACAAATGGAGAACATTCAAGACAGTTGCCAATCTTCCCAGGAGTGGGCATCCCAGCATATTCACCCCAAGGTCAGACTGTATAATGCTCAGAGAAAATTGCAAAGAATCCAAGAGCTACATCTAGGGATCTCCAGGCCTCGGTTAACATGTTAAATGTTCAAGTTCACGACAGTTTGATCAGAAAAAGACTGAACAAGCATGGCTTTCATGGAAGGGTAGCCAGGAGAAAGCCCCTTCTCTCCAAAAAGAACATGGCTGAACAGCTTAGGTTTGCAAAGCTGCATCTGAACAACCCACAAGATTTCTGGAACAATGTCCTTTGGACAGATGAGACCAAAGTGGAGATGTCTGGTCATTATGCACAACGTCATGTTTGGTGAAAAACCAAACACAGCGTATCACCACAAACACCTCATACCAACCGTCAAGCACGATGGTGGAGGGGTGATGATTTGGGCTTGTTTTGTAGCTACAGGACCTGGGCACCTTGCAGTCATCGAGTTGACCATGAACTCCTCTTTATACCAAAGTATTCTAGAGACAAATGTGAGGCCATGTGTCCGACAGCTAAAGCTTGGCCAAAATTGGGTCATGCAACAGGACAATGAGCCCAGGCACACCAGGAAATCTACAACTGAATGGCTGAAAGAAAAAAAATCAAGGTGTTGGAATGGCCAAGTCAAAGTCCAGACCTCAACCCCATTGAGATTCTGTGGCAGCTGAGCTGTGCATAAACAAATGTCCTCAAACATCAATGAACTGAAGCAATGTTGTAAAGGAGAGTGGGCCAAAATTAATCCAAAACGACATGAGAGACTGATAAACTTGTACTGAAAACGATTACTTCAAGTTATTGCTGCTAAAGGTGGTTCTACAAGCTACTGAATCATGAGGTGTACAGACTTTTTCACACATGGCTTCTGCATGTTGGGTTATTTTCGCAAACAATGACATAGTGGAATCTGTAGCGTTGTTTGTCACCCAAGGTTAGAATTACCTAATTTTAGGACCTGGTAAGGACCAGAAGATTTTTTATGTCCCGATATATAAAAGCACAGAATTGAAAGAGAGTGTACTTTGTTTTTCACATGACTGTATATACATAGCATGATGCTGCCATCACACTGGTGTTGATTTTGTGAAATATTTTAACACGTGGACATCTCAGCCCTTTTCAACAACTGAACTATGTAGCTCTTTCAGACACAGTTGGTCTCAGAGCGGCATCCTCAGTTTCTACATGCCCAGCTGTTCTGTTCAGAGGGACACAGCGACAAAGGAACTAGGCAGTGTCTGTGTATTATAATACACACTCTACTTCTTAATTGTCACCTTCACCATGCTAAATAGGATATTCATTCTCTTTTGCCAATTTTTATCATCTTCTTCTAATGCGTCTTCCTTTAATATCATTTTGAAATTTCCCGGTTCTTCATAGAATTTTTGCTTGAGATTCACTACTTATTTGAAGGACATTACGAATATAAGTGTATTTATTCCAAAATCAAGTGAACCTCTATTGCACACTGATAGAGGCCAATCCCCTTTGTGGTTCATTAAAGTAAGTTTAAATCCTAAATTAAATTAGGTTTACATTAGGAAGACTTTTCCACCTTTGTATAAATTATCAGGTTACTTATTTCATATTTCACATCACATCGTTGTGTATTTTGCTTTGAATGTGTTGTGTAGGTTGTGTAAACTTCAAAGAGTAATGACTGCAAATTTTAAAGAAACAAAATGTGAAAGTTTTGCAAGAGTCTGAATTCGTTTACAAGGACACTAAAACAGACATAGCCATTAATAGACAATGTTTTGCCCCTATTAGTCTATTAAATTAAGGTGTTACTCCAATCCATTTGAGATTCATCTCATACATCCCCATTTTGTTTTGCTATACAACTGACATACAGCATTTGAGCAACTGGTTTGGACCATGAATATTAACCACAGTTACCTAAAGAACACTCCAATATATTTTTTCAACTGTGTACCGGAGAACACAAATTCCGGTTACATTTGGCAGTCCTTAAAATAACTATATTGACTCCTTTTCAAACTTTTTAACATTTTATAACTCAGAGAACAAACGATGTAACTTTCTGAAAGTCCTCTCACATGCCTTTGTACAGTAAAAGCCTGCCCATATTCTGAAATGCTAAATTCCACATCTGACATTAGTGACTACCTTGTGTTTCTTAGAATGTAAAACAGTTGTCAGATACATGTCTGGGTTTCAGCTGCTTTAGGTGAAGACCTAAATCTTTTATGCCAGTGAGCTTTACATGCAATTGACTTCCTTGGTTTGTTCAAGGTTTTAAAGAAGAAAATTCAATTAAGAAAGTCTGTAAACCTGCAACAGATTTGCACAGACTAAGCAGTTATGAACAAAACAATTTGTAAAATTTAAAATAACAGCTGAATATTTTTAGCCCACAGAATTCCAATGCCCACCTCAATTAATTTTTCCCATATTCTATTTTTTTGGGTGGTGTAGATTTCCTGTTTGTTACAGTACAGTTGGTCAACTCACCTCTGAAAGGAACAACCGTTTTTATACTGTATTTTATTTTACACAGCTAATGCAGAAGGACGAGCATACTGTACATGACTTAACTATTTCAAGCAAACAATTTTGTGGTTGTATGAGTGACCTTAACGTCCCGTAATATAATATAATATAATATATATATATATTAACGTAATACAAAGTTGCAGTTGCAGTGTTCAACCGACATTAAATAAAAACTGCAGAGTAGGGTGGTCTCCTATATAATTCTGCCTTAAGTGTAATGGAACTTTGGCGACTTAGACTTGCACATTTTCTGCAAGTAACCAAGTAGACAAGAACAGAGGTGTTAATATCTCCATGACCAGCATTTCCAAATGCACTTTTCGGCATCTTTCTCTGCTACTTACCTTTCTTTTCAGAGCACTCAGTTTCTCTACAACTCCGTCCAGCAGAGATACCACAGAATCTACCGCAGGACAGTTGCTCAAGGTCTTCTCCAGTTCTGCCACAACCATGGTGACGTGGCTCGTCTCACGATCAATATTCTTCTGCGCTGCCCGGAAACGCTTGTTCAATGTTTCATATGGTACCTGCCGAAATAAAAAAAATGAACTGCGACATTCAAATGAGGAAGGGTAACCAGTTCTCATGTAATACTATCATACTGCAGTAGAGGAAAGTGCTTGCAAATCTGAACAAAAGGCTCTATCTTGACCATCGAAAGCATGGTAACAAAATTACAGCATGCAATAACACTGAACCTAGGTTAATGTCACACAAAGAAAGTAAAAACAAATTCCTTATCAATGAGTGAGGTTAATGCCACAAAATGCAGTCATTTCGTCATTTGACGCCCACATGTTCTTGAACTGCCTTTACTTCCTTATCGCCCCCGAGAAGGCGAACCAGAAGAGGAAATGTAAGCTACTGAAATCATGACTTCTGTTCTCAATACAAGTATAGTTTCTAAAGTCAGTATTTTCAAAAGTTCCTTTTGTATGGTCTCCGCCTAGCTAGCTTTTGAAGTACAAGCCATTCCTTAAAAGTGCAACTCCAAACTAAAGACAGATGAAAGCTCTTCACAGCACCACCACAAACAAAAGAAAATGTGAAAGACAGACTCTGACGGCGATGATCAGACACAGACAGAAGTAATAGGAAGGATTATGCAATAACTAAATACACAGTAGTTTATGACCAATTCTAGCCTACACTAATGTCAAGGGTAGATGACCCATTACTGTCTTTATTTTACAAAGTGCTATTAATATCAGAATCAGAAAAGGAAATTCGAAGTAAACCACACTATAGTAATACAGAAGGTGAACAAAGATTTCACTCTGGGGGGGACCTAAATGCAAATCAAAGTGCAGTACTGAAAAAGAACAAAAAACCCTGAGCAGGAATGCAAGCCAGCTGCTGTTCACCACAAAGAGATCAGAGCATAAGGATCTCAGATTATGATGAGATCCAGAAAGCATGTAATGATGTCATTTCAGTAACATCAGTTACAAGCCAAAACAGCTGTGTCTTTATACCAGAAACTCAAAAACAAAATGTGTCAGGACTACCCAGGCCTGGGTGCTACAGCCCAGTATTCACCTGCTTTTCAAACACAGGTATTTGAGGCTTACAGGATCATTACATGCAGACAACCAATTTGTAAATGTGTTATCACATAGTTAAAACTGCTAAAACATGAAAATGTAAAAACAAACAAAAGGAGGCCACAGTCTTCAAATGCCAAAAGTCAGGGGGTGGGTGGGGCATGAACTGATATTATGGTACCGTTACAGTTTGATTTTTTGTTATGTGCTCTGTGATAATTTACAGACACTATAAGCAAAAAAAATAAATAAGCCAAACTATCATACCTTGGGCAATATTTTAGATTAACATTAACAGAAATAAAACTTAGGGTATTTAAATTGTAAATAACCACTTGCTTAAATTATTGCAAAGAAATTTACAGACACATCACCTGCAAACCATTTCTGAATATCATTGTTAAACATGTTGTAACGATGGCAGCATTGTTGTTAATTTACAAAGTTCCAATAAAGGTATACATATCCAAGATCTACTGACCCACCAGTATATTACCAGATTAATGGAGATTAGAAAACACAGAAAAACAAAAACAATATGCTCTGGTGCATGCACAGATAAGGTAAAACAAGCATGTCAAAATGTGTTTTAATTCTAATTCTCAAGAACAATTATGTTTACTAGTACACAAAGCAGCACTCTGCAAAAAGAGTTTGTTCTTTTAGGTAGGAAATCCAATCTATGAATTATAAGCATTACTCTCATTATAATTAAGAAAGATGCACATGGAGGGTGAATAGTAAACTAAAGAACTAATGTGTTTTCAACACAGTTGACAGCAGTATTATTCATAATAAAATATCTTGCAATAATGCATTTAAAATGCTCAAGTAGAAAAGCGCTTTTTGTTTGCTAATTTCAAGATGAATTGTTAAATTTAGTACAAATGACATTCTTGCACTATGAAGTATGTCTTTTTCATTAATTAGTCTTTTAAAAAGCTGTTCATTTTAACAAGAAAAGCAAAACACTCCTTTCTGTCTCAGCCAAAGTTTTTTTTCAACCCAAAGTTCTTCAAAACTCTTCAACAGCAGCTTTCAAATAACGCAAGAACTGGCGAGAAAAACTGTTTTTCTGCGACATTTAAACAATCCAATAATGCCACCGCGTTCATTACAATGACTTTCAGTCACCAAAAGGCAGGCAAACTATAGTCATGGAAACGCCGATGACAAATTGTCCAAACAGCAATTGAAATTCCTCTGTAAAAAGCAAGAAATAGTTTTGGTCCGGAAAAAACCCCCCACAAAAGTACCTCTTTTCCATAAACCACAGAACTTGAACTGATGCCTAATTTGCCCCTCCCCCTACACACTCCATTTTATGCCTTTACACAACATGACTTGGCAGCTATATTTGGGTGAATATACAAAATCTTTGAATGCTTCTGCATCTCAGGCTGGTCTAATTTTGTCTAGGCTCAGAGGAAATCACCTAACATGTCAATAAAAAACAATGCAGGCCGCACAGGATTGTCTCCTTAGCTCCACCCATTTTTCCTTTTGTTGTTCTTTGCCCCCTTTGCCTCATTTACTCCTGCTCCCTCCTTCTCCTCATGCCCCTGGAGAAGCCTCCACATGGAAGCTTTGTGTCTTCTCATCTCTTTCACCTTTCGGCATGGCACAAACCTCCACTTGTTCCTCTGCAGCTCGCATGTTGACTCAGGCCCCTTTATCATAAGATAACTATTTAACACATGGCTGTATAATTAATAACCCATCCATCTTCTAATCGTCTTATGCAATACAGGGTCACAGGCGAGCTGGAGCCTATCCCAACAAGCAAAGGGTATAAGGCAGGACACACCCTGGACAACACGCCAGTCCATCACAGGGCAGACACACAAACCTGCACCAGGGGCAATTTGTCCAGAAGCCAATTAACCTACCAGTATGTTTTTGTCTTTTGGCTAACATCAAGTGTAGTATGTTTTCAACTGTGGGAGGAAACTGGAGCATCTGGAAGCACACAAAAGCAAGTAGAACATACAACCCCCATGCAGACAGCACCCCTGGAATTGAATCCACAGCCCCAGGGCTGCCAGGCAAATTTATGACACCCCAAATTAATAATGAATATTTAATTATATATACACAGGTATAGAATTTGACTTGAACAAGTTAAAAAAGCTGGCAACCACAACTTTCTCCATTTATGTGTTAACTTCACCAGAGTTGCATAATATGTAAATTGAAGAGTGAATGTACTGTAACCTGTATGCCAGTTAATTCATGTTGTTTGGAGTAGCTTTCTTTGTAAAACGTAGCCATCTTCTAATGAATTCTAAATGTGCCAGTTTCAAACACCCATGCCACATGCTTCCCTGAGTTTATTTTAGGTAGTCTAAAGTCTGGTGGAAGAATCATGTTTTGGGTAAGTAGGTGTTTTATCAGCAGTGGTAATTTCTGTCAGGAGCAAATGGTTTCTACTACACAGACAAACATGTTGACCAATACTTTAATACATCTTTCCACATCTAAATGAATTTATGTCCCAATAAGATCCTCACTCTGTCATGTGTTAAGTGTTAGCAGGGTGATGTTTTTCAAAAAAACAGAATGCCCTTTCCATTTGGTTACCAGTTAGATTTAAGCCATCCAACTACCTACAGTGCTCAAATTCTGAAATGTGAAAAAGGTAGAGTTCTCAAAAGGTGAAATACAAACAAAATAGATGCAGGATGAAACTGTGAAAAATTATGCAAGAGGTCTGAATAGTTAAAAGGATCGTGTTTGTACCCTGATGATTATATGCAAGAATTCAAGCAGATGGAATTAGTGCCAAACATTTTTTTTTACACCTGCTATTAAACAGACATCTCGTAGAATAGTTTCCATCAAAGTAAAATACACACTCATAAGGCTTAACCTCTAAATTATGAAAGCATTTTAAAAATGAGATGCTGCACAAAGTACAAAATGAAGACATACACCTAACAACACAAGTGCAATTATGTGGAATTTTTCGTTTTAAAAAAAATAAACGACGAAAATGTTTATGTTGTCAATGTGGAGGTCAATATGGTACGAACAGGTTTTTGACAAAAGCGCTGAAATAGCAGACAGCGACGAAATGCAGTGTTGTTATGGGGAATAAAAAGTTGATTATTGTCAGGGACAAAAAAAAATAGTCTACCCCACCAGCTTCTCCAAGTTGCAGCCTACGGCGGCGCTATAACTTCTATATAGCAACCCTTAGTTATTTCAAACCGAAAAGATTAATAATAAGGCCTGTGTAAAATGTTCCTTCTATATTCAGTGGATATCATTCGTATTTAATGTTACAAAAATATAAATGAGTAATTATGAGCTTATTTAAATGTTTTCCACTGACGCCAACCCGATGACAGAATTATGACCGAAGTTCTCCAGCTGGAGAAAAGTAAAAACTGGAAAATAGTAAGTTTTTGACAAACCATCCAGATGTCAGAATTCCGCATTAATATAAAGAATCGTTTTAACAATCTGTCAGCCCGATTCATCAAACACAAATACAGCAAAAAAAAGTGCCCCTACCTCGAGTTCTAGTCTGGGCTCGTATCGCAGACTTGTTAGGGTGATCAATTTAAGTGACCCAAAAAACAACGATAAACGCATCTGCCCTGTGTGTTCACGGAGGAACTACAAAAACACCGATTTACACATAGAACAGCATCAAGACATCATTTCATCGCTAAACTGTAATCGGGAGATCCAGTCGCTTTCTCGACACCGTTGTTGTGTTTTCTTTCAAAATGAAGGAGCATTTATCGAGTATTAGATGCACATGCACAGACCTGTCACCCACAATCTTAACGAATACGTTCTGCAATTATATCTGTCCTGCTTGTCAAATTTGGAGATAATTATCACACCTTTAAAGTTGGATATTCTTGAACCTTCAATGCCATGGAGAGTTGAGCAGCTGATTCCTGCACCGCCATCTTCGATTGGGGAAAAAAATCCACATAACTGAGGACCTACAAAACACTGCACTGCATCATGGGTTAACTAGCCTCTCCAGATGCGATAAATACTTTTTCCACGCAAAACAAAATGTGTTGCTATGCTTATTTTTGGTATTAAAGATTTTATTAATCACGATATATGTTACAAAAACCATAAACCATAAGGAAAGTGTAAAATATATAGCTTACTGTAAACTCTGTAACGCCTTTTTAAATTGACAGTAGCATCCACCAATTAGCTTCATCTCTGTTTCTACTTTTTTCTCATGTCTTTTTAACCTGTGAAAGCCTACCGCTACAGGGGATGGGCCTGTAATTTAATGTTATTGGCATGTGTCAGAGCCAAACAAAAATTAAGATCAACCATTTTACATGTCACAATACGTAATGATTGCAAGTGCAATTCGTTGTGCCTCCAGCTCTTTAAACACATGCATGGGTTAACATTAATGAGTATGATGACTATTCAAGTGCCTAAAGCAACTAAGTCTAACCTTAGTGTGTACACATGTAACATAGTATGTATGTGTACTTCAGGGGACTCTGGGACTGGAGAGCCACATCCCAACGGGCTTTATGAGTCACCCTTAAATCATCAATTTGTAAAGATTTGTAACACGTGTGTTTTGATCAATTCTGTAAGTTAATTGCTTCAGTTAAGCCAGAAACAGACAGCTGCGTCCTTGAGAGCTGCAGGATTTCAAATGTGGTCTAAAGATCTTAATTGAGCAAATCAGCAATCAAAACATGAATGTGTATCAAATGCTGGCAAATTATATAAGGGTGTGATGTGTCAAAACCTGCTGGAGTGTTGCTCTTCAAAATCGTAGTTGGCCACCCTTGCTCTATAGAATAAATACACCCATCCATTTTATAGCTGCTTAATCAATACATGGGGGAGCTGGAACCTATCTGGGCAAGCAACGGGCATAGGGTAGGATACACCCTGGATGGGATGCCAGCCCATCACAGGGCATACACAGACACAAATACACAAACACAAAATTTCCAGACACCAATTAACCTACCAGTACTGTATGTCTTTGAACTGTGGGAAGAAACCGGCGCACCCATTGGAAACCCACTTGAACCTGAGAAGAACATACAATCTCCACTCAATGGGCTCCAACACTGCGAGGCAGCAATGCTAATCACTGCACTACTGTGCTGTACATTATATATACATATATGTGGCATGACCCTCACCAGCAGAAGTAGTATTATGAAAATGGATTAATACTACATATTATCGTCAGAAGTACTGGCACCCAATAAAGACAACCATATTATCACTAAGTTACTAAAAATATAGTTTAACTCCTCTAATTTGACAATGATACATCTTACATATCTACTGCCCCTTCATTTAAGCAAGTGGTAGTTAATATTTATATTAAATTAACTAAGGCAGGGATGTTGATACATAAGTGGACAATTCCACAAATGTGTTAAATAAGTAAAGTTCAACAAAATAATTATATATTATACTTAGTGAGAAAATGTTGGCTGTAGAGCCATCGGTTGACATGAATAGCAATTATCTACATTTCTTCAGTAATTTGTGGGCACAATCGACAATCCAGGCCTACAAGACTCACAAGTATTCCAAGAACATGATGTTTTCCAGAGGGCGTTTAAGGAAGTGGTTTTAATGGAATGCTTTCACTGGAATTTAACACTGTGGTTCAAGTCCGATTAATATCCACGTCAGAGTACAATGGTGGTGCTCTGACTGTCTTTGGTATTGATTGAGATTTGGGCCACAGGTTAATAGCTGGAGGTCTCCAAGGAAACTGAAATCCTTGCCCGATACATTAAGGATTTACAAAAATATACTGCTATGTTCAAATGTTGTCATCTCAAAATAGAGCAATATATATAGAGATCCTCAAATTTACGTCACCAGTGCATGAAAGCCGCAGAGAATAATGGCTTCACCTCTTCACCATGGCCTTGTCAGTCACCAGACATAAACCCTACTTAGTATGTCTGAGTGATCCTCAACTAATTTACAGGAAAGTGTTTCAGTCAGTATACTTATCAGGACTCCCTCAAAGAGATTATGTGCCTGGAATACTGCTCTTATGCACTTTAAGATTGCTGACCTCATCCACAAAATCTTATAAACCAGTCCTACCATGTTTTAGGCAAAGGGCACCTCAAAATGATATCCCATGTCATGATATGCAAAAATGTAGATTAAATAGGTGTGCTTTTCAACATGGCATTTATTTAATTATGTCAAGCCACTGCCCATATACATGCAAATACAAAGAGGGAGAAATTATGGGGACACTTGGCAATATAATTCAAATACAACTAAGAAAGCAAATGATGAAGTGAAGTGATGAAGTGAATTACGAGCCAATCTAATCCTGGAATTTTAAAATGAAAATATCCTCTTAGTTAGCAATCCCACATATTCCGGACACTGTGTCAGGCAATGTTAGGAATTACAACGTCTTATTTTGAAGCGTAATCAATTCCAGTGTCAGTTCTGGAGAACTCGGGGAACTGACGATTTTCATTCCAACTCCACTCTTAATAATGTAAAGCACCTCATTATTATATTAATTGGGACACATTTAACTGCATCTTCCGGCTCATCAGATGCTGCTACTTTCAAGTAATCTGGGAAACTTGCAGATACACGAGAACAGAAACGGACACTGTAGTGTAATCATCTCAATAAGAGACAGCAATCTTTTATTTCTTCAGAAATGAAACTTGTTTCTGCTGTTTGTTTAGGTTTGTTGCTGTTTTGGAATCCACTCTTTTTTTGCGTCCCCACACTGTCTAGAAGATAAAAATGTGTCACTATAAACACCTGCCTTTCTCAGAAGCACCTCCTTCGGATTTGGTGTTACCCATTTTAAATTGAATAGTTTATGGTTCTCCTGTACATGCATGTAACAGTACACTGGTCCAGATTAAATGTTAAAGTGCCAGATGTTTGCATAGTCTAAGTCTAGAATATATATATAAATGTCATAGGATGGCTTTTAACACGTTGTTAAATTGAACTATAAAAACTGTGATAGGTGATCCTACTACATTCTAACTTTCTATTTTTTACAACTACATGCTAAAATAAAATAATCTTGACTACAAGGGATCAAAGGAAAAAACAATAGCTCATATCTGACACAAGTGTGTCGAGGATATGGTCCAAATTCTTTGTATTTCGTAATGTCTGTTTTGGAAAAACTTTATTGGACATTAATGTTGTCTGATTAGTTGCTGAAATTCTTTATTAATATTTTTATCGACATTCTTTATTACTATCATTACATATAAATGTAATAAAGCATCCCATTTCTGTATAAAGCTGACTTCCTGCCATTATTAAAACTCTGTTCAATTACAATTGTGTGTTCATTTACTGATTTTAATATTTATTAATTAATTAAATGTTTCCTAAAAATATTAGATATTAATTGTGTGTGCCTACAGCTGAAAGATTCTGTAAGTAAATTTTAAATGTCTAGAGAATGGGTCTGAAGTACCCTAAGATGTTATTTAGAACACAGAGTAGTAAAAAGAAGAAATTTGAAGACTTTCCTCTAAAATTAAAGTTAAATCCCAAGCCGGACATACTGTATGTATGTTAAATGTTTAAGAGATAGGAGGAAAATTAGTAGTTTTATGGAATGAAATGAATGTAATAAATTCACCCACAGTACTGTATGTGCATTTACAGTTCCTGTGTACCAATAAAAACTTGAACCATAAGATACTGTAGGCTTGATCTAAAAAATCTAGTTTTTGAGACTAAAAATAATCAGTTAAAATTTTCAAAAGAACATACATTCTGCAATATATCTGGCAAGGATAAAGTCCTGTGGTCAGATATAAAGTGAAGCCATTCATGAAGAAGCAACTGGATGAAATCCTCAGTTCAATTAGATGTTAAAAACCAAAAGTGCCAGATGGGCAAAATAGTCTCCTCTCAGTTACAGACTTGTTTATGTTCTTAAGTGTACATTTAATAATATTGATAGTTAAAACAGACAAAATGTGTGGAAAAGGAAAGAAACTCAAAAATGCAATTTCCATACATTCATAAAGGAAACATTAGGGAGGTTGTATAAATGTTTGGGATCCATAATGGAATTGAAATAATTGTGAAAATTGAAGTTTAACTCACTAAGGGAAAAGGAAAAATATAACCAGCTTCTTTGTCATTCTCTAACATGGAAAGGAGCCAAAATAATTACAGAGAAAATGGTGTATGTAACAAAGGATAAAGAGGAGTTTTTAATCTTGAATCTCAATGCTGTCTAAGTCTGTCTTGTAGTTCTTCAAGATGCTTGAATAGAAATGCTCAATTGTAAATATTGGTACACAATTTCACTTCAGATAAAAGTACAAACTGAGAAGACAATCAACTGACAAAACAACGGCAGGCATAAAAAATATGAACTTGATTTGATATTATACTTAATTAGAATATATTTTTGTTCTTTAACATTTATTTTTTCCACATAAATAATTGGACATTTTAAAACATGTTTTTGTCTCAAGACTTTTGAACACGACATTGATTGTGTTTTGCAAATGCCTGCATGCTGCAGTCATACACTCACATACACAAACATGAATGGAACCATAATTAAAAACTCAAGTTATTCAAGTGCTGGTGTTTTTAATTAATGAACATACTAGTTTATTAAGAGTGCAAAAACACATAACTTTCTTTTTTGGGGTATTCAGGTGGCTTTCTTATTATATTCCAACATGATATATTTTGATATTTCTAATTGTATCTGATTATTTTGTTATATATTGTATGTAACAGTGTGTTATTGTTAAAGTATAAAGGAAAACAATGATTCAATTCATATTCAACACATGAAACCAAGCATTAGATCATATACGTTTTAAGAGCAGGCTTTTGTTATTCAGAAAACAGCCTAATACATTTAATATTATAACATTTTTAATGACTTGGGTGATATACATGTACAGAATGTACTTCTATCACATAAAATAAAATATTGCCAGTCTTATACAGTGTTAGCACAAATAAATAGTATGTCACAAGTCTAAGATGATCTGTGGGTGGTGTATTTTCCAATGCAGAATCATTCTCAGTAGCATATTCAGCAGGAATTAAAGTAAAATTTAATTTAATTTTAGTTAAAACAATTTCTACACTTAATTTCTTGCACAACAATGTGCACAGTAAATGCTTTTGTAGTCTTTTTCTTATTGACATTTTGCCCCTTTCTAGTCACACAACTCACACTAAAACAAATGTTTTCAGTAAACTTTTAAGTAAAATAAATAAATAATTAAAAACCACAACAAAGCAGAAGCTTAATGCATAAAACGTTCTATGTGTTGTAATTATACAGTACGTTCCGCATAGCCTATCGCATAACATTCCTTTTATTTCTGGGAAATGCCAATTCTAACTATGAATGTTGGCTAAAGAAATTCAGTTTTGTGCTCAATCATTATTGAGCCCAATCATTAATGCGAGAAACACATGGAACTTCGTTTTTCTGCCCTTAAAGTTTAACTGAGCACCGCGACCGCGTTGGTTAAATGACAGAAAATAATGCACGGGGATACATGGTGAGGAGTTCACAAACTTAATAAGTAAGGTTGGTTAATAGGTTGTAAAGAGTAGCGTGGATTTGTTAATCTCAGTGTGATCTTGTCAGTTACAGCAGAAAGCACGGAGAGAGGAACTCCGACAGCGGGGCAGGAATCCAAAGGTATGTCTTTCTCCCCTAACAATATTTATTTGTTGTCAATATACACAAAAAATAGTTACATCGAGCAGAGCTGCGTGCCTTCGTCCAGTTTAAATGTAAGATAAATGTTTTGTGGACGTTGCTTCTTAACGATGGCTTGTTTACTAACGATATCTAGGCGCAGTACAGAAGATTTCTTTTTCAGTGCGTTTCTTAGTAATGCAATGTAGGAAAACAGCGGTGGCGGCAGCAGCAGCACTATTTAGAAGCCCTGTTGGTTCTCCATGCAAATGACCGCTTTGGTCGTAACAAAAGCCTTAATGTTGGCGCTTGGAAGAAAATGATCTGACTGTAACAACCCAAGCTACTTTCGCCATGTTTTTTTTCTCTTGTTTATTCACATTCCGTTGTCTTCAATTACCTCACGGAGTACAGGAGGTCTTGTCATTTCAGTATAGCATAGGTTCAACGCATTTCAGTGTTTTCACTTTCTCCATGCTCCAGAGGTGCGGAGTTTGCAAGAAAAAGCATGTGGAGAAAAGCTACAGAAATCTTGGAATAAGACGGACGTGAAATGCACAACCTTGCAGCTTGCCTTGAAAAGCGTGATTAAGAGTGATTAAAGAAAAAAAAGAAAGGGGGTTGTAAAAGCAAATATAAATATTTTCGATCATCTCATTTACATGTCTTTTGCCTTATTTCGATAAGTGTGTTCAATGTAATACTGTGTAAATATGCAAATACATATGAATATATTAATATGTACATATTAACTACAGTTATTTTAGGAAACCCACTTAGACCACTTTCCCACCGACGGAAATTTAAACATTTATTACGTATAGTGTGTACGTTTTTGCAAGATAAAAATCCCCCACCGCGTGATTCAATTTATTTTGCTCCATTTCTTCGTTGAAACTAACACATTTGGTTTGCGGCGTACATCGTCAGAGACAATATTGGTTCCGTTTTGCAGAACGTGATACTTCACGGAACTGGCAGGTTTGTCCTGATGGACAGTTATAAGCGTTTTATTGAGTCTGTGAACCAAAAATCACTGGTTAAAAACCTGTTGAACAATAAGCTCTTGCTTTTAATGCTGGGATTTTAGATGTTAACCGTTGTCCACGTTTTATGCAGTATATAATTTAAGTGAATCAGAAGGTTAGTGTTGATCTAAAAGCGCTAACAGATTATTCAATATAGTGGATATCGCACGCAAAGTGAACATAGAGATCATAGAACCATGCAATATTTTCAGCATAAAGTTACAACAGGGTATGATCTCCTTGAGCATTAGCATAATTCTGGCATCCTTGATACTTAAGACATGATCTGCCCCTAGACATACCACTGTGGGATCTTCGCGTTGTCAGCCTGCAGCCAGCTAGTGAAGATGTTTGGTGGCTTATGGTTGTCTCCTTTTGACAGCTGTGGCGAGCTGGTCCCAGAGATGTTCTGTTGCACTCAAGTTAGGAAGAAAAATAGTGTCCATAGCAACACTGACAGCGCTTTCTTGAAGCTGTGCCATTGTAATCCTAGCACTCTGTGGTCTTGCATTGTCCTGCTGGAAAAATCAACATTTCCAAATTGGATTGCAAGAAGCAAATGGGCTTTGTCAATGTATCAGTGAGCAGTACGATTACCCTCAAAGTTATTCTTGTTTGATGAAGATTCCTCCACACTTTGTTTTGCTTCTTCTTTCAGTGGGTTTGAAAAATGCAACAGTCAGCAAAGTGCTCACCACACCATTTCTTCATGGCTTTTGTTAGGTGTGTCATGGGCAAAACAGCATTCTTCAGAGCATAAATACTCTTCTACTCTCTCTTCTGCTACTTTTCATGTAAAGAAGGTGGTGATTTTTGTCTCTTAGCTGTAAATGTTACTCTTGAAGATGTGTCAATCATGCAGATCAGTTTCTATCAATAAGTGGGCTACAGTCATTCTGCTAAAGTGTTGGTTACTTCTTATAATATCTTGTGCTTCTGACACTATAGTTGAAATCTATATCTGCTGTAGCCATGATGCAGAACAACCCATTCTCTGGGCAACCTCTCTTATAGACAGATTTTGTTTTCTATCAGGCTGATAGCAACCAGGTGATCTTCATTAGTCGGGAGTGAGGGAACTGTTTTTTCACTTATTAAAAACATGTCTTTTTGAATGGCAGTTTAAACAGATTCCTAATCAACTAATTTTGGCAATTTTAACTGTGATATCAAATGCCAAATGCCTGACAATTTTATTAAATCACATTACTTAAGCTCTGTATTTTATCATCAAGAGACACTACTCAAGCAAAGAACAAAGTCATCTGTTCATTATTTAAAGTGTAAATTACTTTTTATGTATCCAAAGAGGTATTGATGTTAAACTTATGCTTTGTTGTGTCCTTAAGGCAATGCTGCAGTTAGTGATTACCCACTTATTTTGCTTCAACTCTAGTTTTTGCCTACAGACTGTATTTCATGTACTTTGAATCTTGTAGGTGTGCTTATAATCAAATTATTTTGACATAAATGTAAAACTAACCCGATGAGACAGATCACACTATCCTTCCGCTACTAAGACTATAATTGAGTGTTTATAGGGTGGGGCAGGACATTGTATTTCTTGTTCTTTTACCAGACATTTTTTATAAACCACTTCAGACATGCATGCACTCCATAGGATTAAGCGAATGTGTATGAGTGACATTTTCTTATAGCTAACATTCACTATTGACTTCAGCTATGAACTGATACAAACAGCATTTGTTTGCTGGATTTTAAAACTGGAACACATGGGCAATTGATCTTCAAGACAGCACACAAGTGAATCCTGCATTCATCTTACTTTTGAACATGGGTATTAGGTGACACAATTTAATATTCCATATGCAGTTATTTGACAACAATAGGTCAAAGTCACGTGCTGTATGGCCTAAGCAAATATTTATTATTAGACAAATAGGATGTTCGTGATGTCTGCCAGACATAATGAGTATTACTATGATTTTAATGACAAATGCTTACTGTATATAGGATATTATGGTTCTCTATTTTGTCTCTTATTTTCTTTATCTCAGTTCTCTAACAAACTTGAACCATTCTTATATTATTCTAAAAGTGTCCCAAAATGGAATTAAGGTTTAGTGATTAAAATATGACCCTTTGTCTTTCTTTTCTACTGCCCAGAAATGGTCTCAAGGAACACTAAAAAAGAAGATCTTTGCAGAAGTAGTAGTTTCTTCCTCAGTTTCAGGGTGGTTGTTGTATCTCTGCTTTTAAGGGACATTTATCACATTCACATCACTGGTAGAAAATATTCTAAACCTGAAGGAGAGGAGTGACTGGATGATAATGGGAAACAAGGGGGAATCGAAGTATTTCCCTCTTCTGTTTAGTCTTTGACAAACAAGCATACCATTGTGGAATATCTTGTTGAAAACATTCATACATTATAGAACAATATTTTCTTCTATATAGGTTGTAAATATGATAGGGCCTAGACACTGTTCATATCTGGGCAGGCACGTGCCAAATTCATTTTTACCAAGTCAATCAAGGGACCTGATCAATGATAATACCTGAATACAGGGACACATTATATTAAACAGACTGCATGACAGAATACAGAGCAATGTTTTTGTGGGAGTGCAGAATAAGCTCACTAAGCACTCTGTTAAAACTGACATCATGGAAATCTAAAAAATCTTTAGAAAGACAGCTAAAGGTGATTGTCGTATCTAGCAGCTAAATGAACAAGATGGACTTAATGTGCTTTTCATTTTTACCCTTTCATATGTTGACTAATAACTAAAGAAATAAAGCTTTCGAGACTCAGTTTGCTTTACTATGTAGAAGTGTGTAGACTTGAATTTCTTTTGAATTAGCCATGGACATAATGCCCGTGACAGAACAGGTGGCATAGTTCAAAAGATATCCATGAAGGGCAGTCTCCAGAGATTACATAGTTGATTTCCCATTTCTCAGAAGGAAGTCTTTGAATTGAACCAAATCATGTTTCAAAAGCTGTCAGAGTCAGCTGGAACACCCAAAGCTTTTGCTTGGAAAAGAATGATCATTAATATCCCGAATATACAGTATGTTTTTAATTTGTGTTTTGGACTGTTTGAGAAGTGGGGATAATTTCTTTATTACCTTGTCATATTCAGTGATCCAAGTTTACTGCCAATTCAGTATCACATGCTAGAGAATGACAGTGTGCGTGTTGGTTTTTTTCCGAAGACTTGCTCTTTCAAATTCAGTTTCCCATGTGACTTCTTCCAGGAAATACAATATCTGTCTAGGAGATGTGGTGCTACTGCCAGGTCAGGTCCGCACCTGTAAAATGTATGCAGTGAGTAGACATTTGTCATTCTCTGCCAGAGTAATGAAGCATGTTGTAACTGTACTGTAACTCTTAAAGTGTGTAATTAATATGTTCAGCTCTGACCTTTTTTATTCAGGTTGTTTTAGAGACCAGGTATTTTGATATCTTTTTAGGGTCACAACACAAGGTGAAAAATCACTTAAAATGTCATCCATATGGACTTTTTAAGAACTGTAATTTTTAATGATCCTCTTAAGCATCTCAAATTATTTCTGTTTTTACCTTATGATTCTAATTAGTGACATACACTAGGTTTGCACAGGCAGATCTTGCTCAAGAAGATCTTGAGATTCAAAATCTCAAGTTCAGAATCCCATACTATGGTTTTCTTTTGCTTCAGAAACAGTGTGATAATTGAACATTGCCATTGTAGATTTGGAGATTTCGATTAAAGTTACAGGTAGTGACTTTCTGTAAAAAAAAAGATACTGTGCTAAGTTTGGGCTGATATTGAAAGATACAATGTGAAGGGCTTTTTCATACAAAGATTTGTTTGTGGTCACTAAGCGTTAAGAGTGCTGAACTTGGTCTATGTGATGCAGGGTTGTACGTTTTTAATTATATGAATCCTTCTGTGATGTGTACTAAACTTCACTGGGAGGATTCATTGAAAATGGCAGCCTTATTTTATTTTTGAGCTTGTCTGG